AAGAGTTTTTATTTGGTCTAGATGTTTAGAAGCTTTGGATGCGATTGATAATTGCGCGTACACACGCCTGTGTCTGCCCTCTTAGCAAGGGGGAGTCGACACTATTGGTATAGGCCGAGAAAAGCTAACATCCTCACCAGTTGTTTCGTTGGCGCCGACAGGGATGTGACGAGTAAAAAGTTGTTGGTACCTTAATAATAATAATGTATATTTTCATATAAACATATAAATTCACATGAAAATGCATGCCTGTTTTTACAGGTACGATCAAGTATAATATAATCTCAAATCATAGATTGTCTACGAGTGATACCCTTCAAGTATTATTCCGCCTAATGCTTGGAGGAACTGAATGTGTACTTACACAGGTTGCATGATGTGCATTGCAGCGCTATGATCTAATTCCCACTAGACTTGTCTCATGTATTCTATCAGTGCTAGTGTTCCATACTTTGAGGAACCGGAGTTATGGTAGCTGAGCTCTGAGTATTGTCACTTGTACCATTTTGCGTGAAGGTGTCGCTTTGCCAGCTATTAATGTGACTTGGCATATTTTACGAGTATTTGCTGGTATTACTGCCCTTGTAGAGTCTGGTCACGTTTCTATAATTCGTGTGGTTGTTGGCAAACATTTTTGTCTGAATTCCCTCCCAGGGTGGATTCTTCCTACGAGTTTCAAAATGTAGGGGATTTTTGTTGCTAGCAGTGTATATCAGCACGTTTTACCACCAAATTCCTCTTTAACTCTCGCCTTTTGGCGATGACAGGATATTGCCTATTTTCAAGGGGCACTGGTTAATGTCCTAGGGCTATCGAGAGTCATATCTTAATCCACTGTATGGGACAGAGGGGCTACATTCGGGGAGGGATTATAATCGACTAGCCTTTCGGCTGGTGTTGTGTTTTGGGGAGCTAACTTCGTGGGGTTTGAGAGGGGGAAGATTATGAGTCCCACCGTTTTGACCTCGGGTTTATCTATTTTGGTGACTTGCCGCATCTTGGGGAAAATAGATAGTGATCACATGAAAGCCATAGTTAGCAGGATTTTGACTGGTGAGCTATCTGTCGCTTTAAACTCCTTATAATTCTCATCGAACTTTGAGTGAGTATTCTCCAGTGTGTTCTCGTACAATTTTTTGTTTTCCAATAAAGTAAAGTTTACGTGACACGTAATTATGCGATAAGTAGTAGTGGGAACCTTACCGACCAAATTCTATGGTCTCTGCAAGAGCCATATATAACCTCCAAGAAAGCGCAAACTCCAAGGAATTACTTTCTGTTCAGTATAGACAGCCTCTCTGACGTGTGGAATTTTAATTACCATCCAGATGTCAGCCGTCAGAGTCACACTCAACGGCCCATTATCTACAAGGTGGGATTTTCCACAGCACCAAATGGAGGTTAATCTACCTATAAGCTTTCCCCAAACGGTGGACTAGGGTAGTGGGCACAGAACATACACAGGGCTTAGCAGAAAGGGTAACTATCAGTTCCATGTTACCTGTCTAAACTGCGCGCTTCATAACCCATGAACAAGTACTGCGTGTACCGAGCCACTTCCTTCCTCCTCTAGCAGCGTCCGCCGACAGACGACTGGATAGGAGTATTTAACGGAGGCCAAATCAAAACATAACGTCAATGAATGGAGTATTTGAATGCTGGTTTTAGGCAACCAAGTACATGTAAAACCAATAATAAAAAGGGGGCTTCTCAGTCCAGACGGTATGCAAGCTATCTCCTCAAGCTGAAGACAGAAAGAGTATGCAAACGGAACCTCTCGACAAAGAAATCAAGCGACGAACGAAAAGTGATTAATTTGACGCGACGTGATTGTTCTTGTCGAGAGTGGTTATCAGCAAGCATCATGCGTGAATGCATTGATCTTCAAGTTGGTCAAGCGGGTGCCCAGATTGGCGATTCATGTTAGGGGTTCTATTGTCTTGGCCACGGGATTGAACCAGATGGACGAGTGCTGGTTGACTCGACAGTTTTTAATGGAAGTAATAATAACGCTCTCAGTACATTTCTCAGAGAGACGGGTCCCAGTCACTATGTTCCACGTTCAGTTTCTTTGGATCTTGAACCGACGGTAATTAGCGTTTTACGCCAGGGGAACTACAAGCAGTTATTCCATCCAGAACAGGTTATCACTAGTAGGTAGGATGCGACGAATAATTACGCACGTGGCCGCTACACGTTAGGTGAGGAGCTGCTGGACGAGGTGTTGGATGTGATACAGAAGCTGTACAAGGGATGCACGGATCTTCAGGGTTTCCTGGTGTCATTCGTTTGGAGGTGGTACTAGTTTGGGTATCACCCCACACATCTCTGCGGCTGTTGTCGAGCCGTGTAACCCTATTCTGACGACTCATACGACATTAGAGCACTCAGATTGTGCTTTCGTAGTGGACAATGAAGCGATTTACAAGATGTGCCATCGGAATCTGGCCATTGATCGACCATCATTCGAGAACTTGAATCGTCTGCTTGGCCAGGTGGTGAGTTCAGTAACAGCTTCGATTCGATTCAGTGGCGCGTTGAATTTAGGTTCAAATAAGTTCTAGAAGAGCCTTGTACCTTACTATAGAATTAATTTCCCGTTGACGAAATATGCACCAATAATCTCAGCTGAAATGGTATCCCACGAGCAGCTAAGTGTATCTGAGATTACGAACTCGTGGTTTGAGCCAATGAATCAAATAGTGACGTGTAATCCTAGGAGTATGTAGCGTATGGTTTGTTGTATCATGTTGATGTTTTTCCCAATGATGTGAATTCAGAGATTGCGAGCATCAATGCTCTGAAGTTTATTCAATCTGTGGATTGGTGCCCTACAGGTTTCAAGGTGAGCATCAATTATCAGCCACCTATGAGTGTTCCTGGTGGTGATTCAGCTAGGCTGTAACGTACTGCCTGTATGTCGAGCAATACAACAGCGATATCTGAAGCATGGTCACGTTTGAACCGTAAATTCGATCTGATTTTTTCGAAACGGGCTTGCTTACACTGGTATATGGATGAAAGTATAGAGGAGGGTAAATTTTCGGAGGCGCAAGAAGATTGATGCTCTGGAGAGATATTGTGAAGAAGTAGCCAGTGAGATGAATGTAGACGGGCGGCCAGATAACGGTTTCTGATGTAGCATAAATAAACTTAGTTATGTGAGTAATGTAACCGATCAAACTGTTCTTTCATACACACAAGCAAACTTAATGAATGTAATCTATAGGTGACAGCAAGAAGATTTTCTGGGCAACTTTTAAGGAAACTACTAGGCAGTTTTATAAATCTTCACCAACTGATGTCTCAGAACCCAGGAGTAAGGGAGAGCACCTTACTAAACATCACAGTCATGAAAGCCTAATCGATCTTAGGCGGTAGATTATACTTACATTTCTGATGGGTACCCGAATTATGAAGAAGTAAATCATATACGTTTACGGGAGCATTATAATCCGTGCATAAGATGGAAGAAACCAACACATCCATTAACATATATATACTTATATCAAATTAAACTTGCCAAAAATGGAATTGCCAATTGCGTCTCAAAAGCCGTTAATGCCCAGTTCTTGCTACGCCGGGCCTCTCGCTGTCCCTCGAAGCCTTTCAGAAACGCTTAGTACTAACGGAAAAAAAAACCAAAACACCGATCGGCGACTTGAGAATTCTTTATTCTAACACCAACATATAAGCAGCATAATAACTAAGGTTTCTGACGGTTTTGTACGTGCTTTCTGAACAGCGATCGATGAGACGATGACTGGTGTATTGATGCCTCCGCGAAAATATAGGGAAGTTGGGTTTGAGCAAACAACCATGAAGTGATCGTTCAATCTTCAACTACATTGGCAGAAATATATTCATTTACTGTAATCAAACGGAATCTGCTCAATGCAAGACCATCATCCCACAGATGGTACAACAGCAACCCACATTTCACTATGGAATTTATTTCAGGAACTGCTGAGAATGCAATAGTTGATTAAAAGCTGGAGATTTATTATTGTCTTACTCGGTTCTGTGGGTGAAATTGTGCAATTCTCGGGCGGGAATCGCTTTCGTCAATGGTTTGGAGCCTGATATATAGTTATATGAAGAAATATCTACCAAAGAACTACATTCTACAAGACACTTATCACGGCCTCTGACAAAAAAGGTCTTTTGCTTGCAGCCTGTTTTTATCAGAGAACTACTGGAATTTAGACGTCGGTATTGACCTACCGCCTCTAGATTTCATGTGGGCATTCTCCAGTAAACATTTCAGATGGGAATCGGAAACCGAATACTACTTTAAGTGGGGCTCAACTCGAAGTCACGGGATTCTACTCGCGAGTAAGTCTCCTGTGACCAGATTAAAGAAGAACACGTTCTAAGTTATCTGCCCCAGAATGATTGCTGTTTACTGTAATTTTCACCTGCGCATTGGTACTTAGGCGTCAGAATGGTCGCTAGCCGTGGACGCGGTCCAGAGATGGATCCCAGGCTGGAACACCCTTTACCTCCAACCGATTGTTAACCCTACGAAAGAGGAAGGATGGATGTGGAGCTAGCAACTTCATCCAGAAAAGGAAACCACGAATACTAAAACCTCGGAGCTCAAGCGTGGAGTACTGTGTTCCTCCTGGAAAGCAAAAGAATAAAACAACAAAAAATAACAAGTGTTATCTACTTCCTGTGGGATATCAGCATTTCACTGAGTTTCTCTTTTCTTCCTTGCTTGTGTTTTCCAGTTTATTCCTCTATTCTTATAAAGTTTTTGTCTAATCTTGCTTTTCAGTGTTATAATCTATTCCGCAGCTATTCATTTTCACGTTCTTTGACCAGTATGGATTATTGCCAGACAGGACTATCACAGATCTCAATTTCCAGTTGTCTGCTGAGTCTAATAGAGCCAAGGCAGCAAAGTAAACAGTCCTGCCACACAAAATCTAGCAATTATTTTGTGCTGGCCCGCAAAATAAAGAAGCAGACTAAATACAAAACGATTGAAAATTGAGCCTTAGTTGTCTATGTAGCAGGTAGGCGCTGAATCAAACGTGGTAGCCAACGTTGATTTATTTCTGTACGCATAGGTATTGTATACAGTATTTCTAGTAGTATTTGAATTTGTTTGCAAGTAATTCTCTTAGTTTTCATTTAATTTTGCTGCTATGCTCCTATTTAAAATGTAGGGAGCTCATATTTTTCAGATTTCGAATTTTATTTGAGGTAAAAGCTCAGGAGGATGTGTTAAGCCACGTATATAAAGTTCCTGTGCTTTTGGTCTAAAGGCGCATACACCAGTTCTTCTAAGAGTCAGTTGATGGCCCGGCGCGTAGATTAATAGATTCATCGCAGTATAGTATGCTTAAGCATATCCCAGGTCTAAAAACATTTTCTCACTGGGTTGAATGTGTGTATGTATGCATATATGCAGCCCCCCACTGAAGTCTTTCTTGATATGATGGGAAGGTAAAGAAAAGATGTGTTGGGTTTATATTTATAGTCAGGTCTTCCTTACTTGCGGCATGGTAAGGTGGACAGACTCAATCTTTTCGTTGTTCACCTTAAGGTGCCTATACCAGGGTTCATACTTCTGAGTATTCGTTTAACTCATTTCATTATGTATTGGTCACATCCCACACGAGACATAGGTGCTTGAGTGCAGTATTTTAGTCTTGCCTCCATATTTAAATACGGAGCTTTGGATCTGTCTTACGTATTGCCGAAAGTGTCCTGCAACCTCGAGTTGCGATTGGTGGACAGTTTCTCCTGGCTTTTCAGTTGTGTGTTACTGTGGCGCCTAAGTTATTGTGCGTCTGAACTGGAGGAAGAAGTGCTCCGTCAACATGTGCTCGCGTACATGCACTTATGGTACTTGTGGCTACACACAGTCATATTGGTGAGCATCAACCTTTCTTTCATGCACAAACAAATACTAGAATCTGTGTACAACACATGAATTTCATTGTCCTTAAGAGCCTTCCAAACTTTTATAATGACATGGAGAAACAATAGAATTTTGGTAGGTACTTCCTTAATATACGAAGGAAACTATAAAGGACATTATTGGACCTTGCATCGCCTAGTTTGGATTTTTTCCTTCCTCTTTATTACCCCAGACAAGTTTCCTAATCCAAGTCATTAGATTTCCAGTGATTTCAAAATCCTCTGCTCAAGTAAATAGTCACGAACGAAACATTTTACTAAGGTTCTTGAGGATAACCTAAACATATATTTCGTTATACTCAGACCTAAACACGCTCCTCTTGGTATAAAGTTTTGGCAGAAGAAACTTTTACGTGAAGCATACTGTGCAATAGACAGCAAGCTGTTTTTCAAGCAGCCCATAACAGCTTCCATAATTACTCTTTCAAACAGTCTTCGAAAAATAAGCGGGCCCGCAGCTTGTGGGATATTACTGAGACCGTGCTATGTAGGTGGGTGTGACTGTCGCATTCTCCCAGTTAAATACCGTTATTCTTTGTCTGAAGAATAGTCTGAAAATGCATTATCAGTTCGAGTATTAGCTTTCTAAATGTTTCCTAGATCTTATTTAGACTTCCAGGATTAGTGTCCGTTTCTACTATCTTCCATTATTGCTCATTTTTAAAGAATTCATTAATAGTTTCAATAACCATTGTCTTTCGACCAATTCGTTAGATTGAACAGTTGTTGACTACTGCCTGAAGAGTTGTCATTTCTTCCTACACTTTAGACTTGTGACCCAATAGTTTTACCACCTACGTCCCAGCTAAGAGAGGTTTCGTGTGCCTCTCGGATTGTGAGGGCAAGTTACTTCTCGGCTGCCCACACCGTGGAATTTGGTTGCATGACCTCAGAGCCCAGGGGACAACTGCTTGAGGCCGGTCACACGCGGCCTAATTTTGTTCATTCTTTGTTGTTTGGGGTGTCTCAGTAGCATATTTATCACTCCTGCCCTGTGACACGGCAGCCGGAAGCGCGGTCGTTGTTAATCCGGGCCCAGCCGATCCGGCATGAGATTTTGTGGTTTTTTATGTATCATAGTGTTGGATTGGGTAGCTGCTTTTTGTTTAACCGCTATCCAAACAACCTTTCTGGCATGGTAGGACCTCAAGAGACATAAGCCTTAGCCAGTATAGCTTGATTAGGTCATTGCGGTGTTCAAGCCCGATCACCACGTCAAGGTAGCAGCTTTCGGTCCCAGCTAATGGCCTAAGGGTGTAGCTTTATAACTAATAACCAGCAAGTCAGAAGTCTAATTCTCTTGTGTTTATGAAATTCCAGACGGCCGGATAATAAATTGACTTCTTATTACGTTTAAATATGAAGTCTTGCAAAGCTTTCAGTACTTTATAAAAGGTCTCCTTGGTAAGTGTAGTGTGTCTTATGCGCTTCTTTTCTTTGTTCTACTTAAAGCTGACTTCAATAGATGTGGAGCGGTCCTAGTCTATGTGTTGTACATAGGAATGCATTTATAGTAACTGTAATTAGACCAGCGAAAATTGTGTGGATGAACTAGTTCTGGTGTGCTATGCGGCAAATGTACCCAACAGGGGGGATATTTCGCTACTAAATTGAACACAATTATAATTAGTTGATCTATTCCACAATGCATGAATTCTTTACAGACATTGCATTTCGCCTTCTTAGTGTGTTTATGATAGTATCATGTTCCTCTGGTGTCTCATTTCCTAATATGCCTTGCAGTAATATTTTGTATTATACCTTAGATTGTTAATTTAACACGTTTTTTATGTACCTGCTAGTGAATCGCTAATTTATATTGAATCGTTTCCCTCTCATCTAGGTGCATTTAAATCACAACTCCACAATAACATCATATAATCTCATCTATGTTATTTCATCTATTCTTACTTCAATTATCACTGATATTATCAGAAGCATATCCCAGACGATTGACTTTTGAGTTACCTGACAATGAAGCAATATGCTTTTATGAAGATCTCCCAGCTTCAAAACAATACGTATTCAGCTATCATGTAATTCATGGTGGTCAAAACGATGTAGATATTAAAATCAGAGACCCTAGACAACAGGTTGTTTCCAATGTTGAGCGTGGCACAGAAGATGATCTCACGTTCAAAACAGCCTCTACGAACGGAACTTATTCCTTTTGTTTCAGTAATGAATTCTCTTCCATCTCACATAAACTTATCTATTTTGAAATACGTCCAGAGGATTATGAAACGCTAGCTGAAGAAGCGGGACTACCTGTTTATCCAACCGTAATGAGTTTATTGGAAAGTGTTGTTGAAGTGTTGCATCATTTCCTTTCACGTGCTGAAAGCTTAGTAATCGAACTGAAGAACCGTGATTATGGTGATTTCTTGGTTGCAGAAGACTTAAACGCAGCTGTGATGGTTTGGAGTGTGATTATCACTGTCGTTGTGGTGGTGACAACATTTGGTCAGGTAACAATATTGAAAAATTTCTTCAGTGAAAAGAAAGTAGCATATTCATCACCGATGACAGCAAATCACCGTGGCATGAGAACATGATCTGTTTGTAGGCTGAGGGTTTTTCTTGTATTCACCTTTTTTTTATGCTCTTTGAAAATCCTTAAAGTATAATGAATATGAAAGAGATGTTTTCCTTCCTCTGGAAATACATCTCATGTTTGTGATTGATATTCTGTTTATATTTATCTGTACCTTTTAATCAATATATAACTAGTAGTTACCAGTCTATGTGAATGCGCTCATTGTTTCCTGTACAGTTTTTTTCAATTTTACCGAAATTTTTTTCATGCCACTGTTATTTTGTTTTGCTTGTTTTCTGGTTAGAAAATTCTTTGATTTAATTAGTATTATTGAGTGTAAAAAGCATCTTTTTCGATGGATGTGTGGTGATGTTTTTTGTTTTTGTTTTGATGAAATAAAAAGAATACTTAAGTGTTGTTGTGAATTACAGCTAGCTAGCTTACATGTTAAGTAGTCTAATATTACAATCTAAAGTAGTCTGTGCAAGGATTCAAAATATTCATGTGATTGTGTTCTCTTAGTTGGGTAGTTTATTTGCGGGTTGATCTCTGACGAAATTTCAGCACTGATACAAAAGGGCTAGTTTCGCATATGCCAGTTTACACCGTCTCTAGCGTAGACAAGATATCCGACTATCGATCAAATAGCGGGTGTACTGCTCATCAGTCCACTCCGTCCTCCTTTATGGTTGTGAGACCTGGCCATCGAGAGTGGAAGACATGAAAAGATTAGCTGTCTTTGATCATAGGTGCCTGCGTTCTATTCCCCATGTGAAATGGTATAATAAGGTGAGCAATATTGAAGTTAGGCGTCGAGTTCTAGGTAAACAGGGGAAATCAATCGACGACGTTGTGAAGTTACATAGACTGAGATGGTTAGGACATGTGTTACGTATGCCTAGTCATCGCCTTCCTCGACGAGCAATGTTAGCTGGTATAGGGTCAGGCTGGAAAAGAGCTAGCGGAGGTCAAACCAAAACATGGAAACAGTCAATGAAATCTACAGCAGTTAGTCTAAGCCACGTAGGAAGGTGAAGACTTCCTGGTTGGGGTTCTCGGGACGGTAAAAACCAGTGGTCACTGGAGACAATCGGTGATATGGCTCAAAATCATCGTTCTCAATGGCTGGCGCAGATGCATCCACTCCTTGTGACTTATAATTTCTAATGAAAGTATATTGTTCTTCGTTATTACTATTCCTTTGTTTCACACCTCTGTTTACTGTCTCTAATATGCATTTCTTCTCTTGCTTTGTGTGCTACATGGGGGGGGGGGGAGTGAGGCGACTTGAACTGGTGCACATATGTGCAAAGTTCTATGTCGAAAACAGACAGACAGACGGACGCCTTGTAAATCAGTAGACAGCTCGTATTGTTTATCCTTATTTCTTGAATTCCTCAGTATACGTAATGATTGTATACATGTCACTAGGCTGAAATTGTTTTCCGTGGTGTTATGTTTATAAAGTGCTAGTGTAAATAACCAACCACGATTGTTAAGCAAATACATAATGGGTATACATAAATGTGTAAATAAAAATTACTACTGTCTGTTGTATTTGTGCAAGTTCTTTGAATTATTGGTTTTACTTTGAAAAAAAACAGTTAAAATCTTGACTGCAGCAGAACTTGGAGCCATTGGCTCCCAGATTACACTAGCCTGGTCATATACCATATCGATGGAGTCTTTTTTAGACTGGTAATTTAAACTGGAAAACCTATAAAAATTATACATTCCACTCTGTGTATTAATAAACCTTCCATCTAGTTTAGTATAAGAATTCCCTTCTATAAATTTGAGCAGAGAAAGAACAAACATCGATGCAGAATAACATGGATCCATTTTATTTCGTCACCTCTTATCATCTGCATACAACCTGTAACTTATGTCTGTCAACAAGTGTACTGTAAGAGCATCATGATGCTATAAAACATCAGGACGACAAGGTAGGCGAAGTACTGGTGTAAATATGTATGTTGTTAGAGAGAATTTCCCCGGAAATTAACTAACAAATTTGTTGTTGGGATGATAACAGAAAAAATTAATGACAGTTACGTCGTTCGATAAGAGAAGGTGGAAATCTGGTGTGTAAGAGGTTAAACGAGATGATGATGATGACAAACTTACAAACTTTCACCAACTGCTGTCTTCGCTCAATACTCAACATCAGATGGTCAGAAGAGATCAGCAATAGTGAGGGGTCTCTGGCAATGAGCGAACCAACCCAGCAGGAAGCAGTTGTGCAACAAATATTCAGGATGAAATGGAGGCGGATTAGCCATACTCTGAGAAAACAAACCATCAACTGACATCACACACCAGGACATTACTTAAGTGGAACCCGAATGGGAAGCGACGACTTGGTCGTGAGTTTGAGGGTGACATGGAGGAGGTGATGTGAAGAGGAGATGAAAGCATGTGGGCAGATGTGGGACCATGTGAAAACTTTGGTGGAGAATCAAACGTAATGGAGACGTGCGGCTGAAGCCCTATGTTCCTCTAGGAATTAAAGGAAACAATAATAATGATAATAATATGGGTGCATTTCTAGTCTCTTGTCTTCATTATCTTTAGCAGATCGAAACAGATTCCAGTTCTACTTGTTATTCTACTTACTCTCTACCAATTCTGAAATTGTTTGTGATTCCTTAGATTAAATGAACTTTCGTTCATTTTTCTATGTTATTCTCAAATAATAGAATGACTTAATATTCATTTGCTACGTAACCTTCAGGTATGACCTTCGAAGCCATTAATGTACACGTTTCTAATCAACTGTTCACTTTTTATGCATTATAGGTCACTATTAGCGATTTCTAAAAGAATATTTCGTCTGACTTTTTACATTAGGAAGTTAAGGCACTCAGGCACAACCAAACCACTCCTCTTAAAGTTTGTCAACTTGCGTATTTTACCTATTCTTCTTTACTGTTCACCCTTATTCTTTCCTGGATTGCTTAAAAAAGACTATGTCATACTTCGTAGAACTCTGAAGACTGTCAGTAGGACAAGTGGTATCCTATTGGGCCATATCGTTAACATTGTCACTGAAAGGCACTTGATGTCATGCAACAAATTTGCTAAAGGAATTTTGTCAGACTCTGAGCACCCACTCTACCCGCAGCTCCAACCTTGTGTCTCCTCCTCAGGTAAAACAAGAAGTCTTTTTAGAAGAATTTACGCACGTACGTCTAAGTATAAAAATTCCACTATACCATATTTAGCATGTACTTTATGTGATGAAAACAGTGTCAGACATCAACTAACTAACCTTCTTCGCACTACTAAATAAACTATTTCTTCCACCCTTACAGTACCAAACTTGATTGTTATTGTATTTCTTATATTTATAATCCTATCAATTTTTTATTTTTATTTGTTTATTTTTCATAATTGTGAACATCAACAGAACATTAGATTCAATATTCTATAGTAACATGCTAAAATTTTCAAACTGAATAGATAATACTGTTTGAAACAAACTCACTGTTATTATTATTATTGTTATTGTTAATATTTAATGATCTCATTTCGCGCTTAAAATATTTTTGACTTTATATCGTAAGCGTGGACCAATGCCTCTGGTTAATTTTGTTTTAATTTTAATTTTATTTATATTTTGAGTAAATCAGATGCAATATTGTGACAAATGCTGAGAATTCCATTCTGTATTATAAGTACTGTTTTGGAATAAAGTAAAATAAATTATTAAAATTATTATTATTAAAGTGTTTAGAAACCTGTAGTAGGGTTGCCACTTTCTTTATCAGCTAATATACTAACACACTAGTCAGTTATTTCAGTCAAACAATATGAATCAGAGAAGATTAGAGGATTCCTAGGCTTTTAGCAGAATTATTTACGTTGATGTGAATTATTGACTTAAGCAGTTGGCCAATGTATCTTGGGTTCACATTCTGCTTCCTTTCTGTCAACCTGGGCAGCTGAATAGTATCATCAGCACTCACACAATAAGTGTGACTATTACTTTTTGAAACATTAGAGACCTGTTCTGGGTATCTAAGTTAAAACAAATTTCATAAAAGGATGCTTCCCTCCACCTTAGTTTAATGTAATACGTAAGATGTAACCTTAAGGGAACCAACACGATCACACAGATTCAAAAGAAGGCTAAATGAAACTGGTTACTTTTTAGGTGTGAATCAATTCACTATACAGTTTCCAAAAGTCATGCTTCACACTTACTCAGATTATTCAATGATGCACACACCAATATTAAGTTTACTATGGAACATGAAAGTGACAGAAAGTTTCACTTACTCGACACTGCCATGAAACGCCTAGAAGACGGTAGTCTTCAGAAGTCAAAGCCTACATGGAAGGGGACAATACTTAGATTTTAATAGCTTTTATCCAAATAGCTTTAAACGTGGACTAGTCAAGACTCTGTACTAAACAGCGAGGAGAATATGCTCTATAGAGAAATTAGAGGAAGAATTTGAGTTTATTGAAAAGATATTGAAAAGCAATGGGTGCCCTCAAAGGTTCATCAACAAGTATGGAAGTATCTGAAGTCACAAATGTAAAACAAATCACAGTGGCTAAAAAGCCAATCTACATTCAGCTTGATTATAAAGGTGAAAACATTGTGGCGATGATCAACAGAAGGCTGAGTACATCATTAGTCATAGCGTATCCTGGAGCTAAGCTCGTCCCCGTCTATTGAACAACTTGCTCTGCTTCGGTGCAATCAAAAATCGATAGATATCCTTCTCATGTTAACTCCAACCGTATATACAAATTTACATGTATCTGTGGGAGCAGTTACATTGGAAGGATAGAAAGAAGAGCATATCTATGATTTTCTGAACATGTACCAGAAAGCTTACGTCTAAAGGGAACAAATGCTTTAAACAGTGCCATCCATCACCAGGCATCTCTTTGACACGGGTCATGAGGTGGACTTCGAAAATTCGTTCAAAATTATCAAAGGCAAAAGAACTCAATTCTCCTCAAGTTCGCTGAAGGCATTTCCATCAAGCGCCTGAAACCTGATTTATGCGTTCAGAAGGAAGCGGTTATCAGTCTTTCTTTGCCCTGCCTGGTAACTGGATATTTTTCATCTCTCTTTCATTTGAATGCGAAATGCTGAAAAGTTTCCATTGTGTATGATGATTATTGTTCGGGATAGTGTTTAATATTGCATATAAATATGTATATATTATTACTGTATGCAAATATTGATCGATTGATTTTTGTTTAAAATGAACTCTATGCAAGTATGTTAAAATTGTTTTTGAAGATATATTTAATAATGAATGTCTTTGGCCTGTAAGCAGTTGACGAGACGGCAACGAAATAAACAATGATGGTACGACTTTATTCTGCTAAAATTGTAGTTTTTGCTTTGTTCAAATTCATTAAGGGGAATAAATGTATGAAAGTGAAGAATAACCAGTATGCAGTGGCTAGTAGTGAATGGTTCACCTTAGGTTGGAGTTACTCACTTCTAATGTTGTATTACACTATGGTGATATGATAAATGTGTGGTTGGTGAAATGGTTAATCACTTTTTAGTCTTCTTATTACTCTGTGGTATTGCCAACCGAGAAACATAAAGAAGTAAAAGTTATCAAAGGCTTATGTGATTCATAAATGCAACAAATGAAGAAATAAGCATAACGCATATCTTGTTGTCATGATAGCTAACCACCTACTTATTGACTTATGAAGTATTTTGTATTCCATGTAGATCTCTGTTCAGTTGAAACATGTTTCTTTCACTAGAAAACTAGAAAAAT